ATTGCATAAATTTAATCAATCCTATGAAAATGGTATTACTGCAAAATGAGAAGAAAACTTTTAGTAGCGAAGTAAAACTTGATTTTGTGCATATCGCATTAAAAGGGGGATATAGGGCACTCTTTGTAGCTTAATGAAATATCGTTATATTGAAAAAAAAGATAATCATACAAACACACACGTTTGACACGGGGAAAAGTGCGCTTTGAGTGTATATATAAAGAATAATAAAGACTCACTTTTAAAAAGCTTCATACGATTAGCATCAAGGCCAGGTTTGGCATAATTATCATTAGGATAAAGTATTGATTCATACATTTCAGCAAAAGTAAATAATTTTTTCAAAATACTTCTGGCCAATTGACCAGGACTCCCACTATCATAAGTATCCAATAAATTTTGATTGTTAAATGACTTAATNGACTCCCACTATCATAAGTATCCAATAAATTTTGATTGTTAAATGACTTAATACATGAGAAGCAATAATATTTTTAAAATGCAACAACGTCACTTACGACAACATTAGGAAATATTTCACCATCTCGGCGAAACTGGTCTAAACCAGAAGCAACCTACAAAGATAGAAATAAATCAAAAAAACTCAAAACAGATGCATAATTTTTAACTGTTGTTCGTTGTATTGTTTTTGAAAACATCTTCAGTTGCTTTTCGACTTTTTCATGATGAGAATCCATATGATTAACTAATTTTGAAACAGCATCAGTAAATTCTAAATATATATGATGAATCAATAAAAAGGCATTTATAAAACATTGGATTAGAAAGAAATTAAAATATTCTACATTTTTCCGACTGTCATATGTGGCAATAAGATAAATTTTTCTTAAAGTATTGATTCAGTATGTGTTTGAGAAGGATCGAAATTTATCTATTTTTGTAATATTTTCGATATGAAATTTTCTCAACATACCAGAACGTAATCGATTTAAATCCCAACGAAATTTCTTTAGTCGATTGTCATTGTTTTCAACAACTAGTCTTTTTGTTCGATGTTTACCATGCGAAACTAAAACGAAATTGTTGTAAGTGACATACCAAGAACAAATTCTTTTAAGTGAATCTTGAAAAGTTTCAATTTCAAAAATTGTTTAAGGATGAAATCTAATATAGGTGTTGCTTTTTAGCATCTAACGACCATGCTTTAAAACTACACGCCAAATACTTTTATGCATTTTTTTTACACAAGTCTAAAGTGATAGAAAAGAACGAAATTATTAAGCGTACGCCTCATATTTCGCACTGAATAAACTATCTCTTAAAAACTAATTTAATTTCGCACGAATATTCTCTAAAAGATACAATAATTCAACTTAGAATATGTCAATTATTGCACGTTAGTCTTTTTCTTCTGAGGACTTTAATTAGACAATGAATTTGCAAGAAATTTATTCTTCAATAAAACTTATAGAGAAACCGTTTGAAAAACGAAGAGTCACTGAAATTTGTCTCTCTTACTTCTATTATGAACTTGTTGATACTCATTAAGTGGTCTTCGTTGATATATAACAATATCACGATCATCGTCCTTGTTAACATGAGAATACATCCTATTCCGGAATGTTGAACATTCCGGAATCAGTTCCGCTCACGGAACCAATTTCATCCAACTCCCAAAATTCCGTTTATCCCTTCCAACACAATCCCGGAATTCCCGGAATCACTGCCGATCAATTCCATCTAATTCCCGGAATTCCGTTTATCCCTTCCGATTCAATTCCCGAATTACACGGAATTCAAACGGATTCCGCCTAATTCCCAACGGTTCCGGAATGTTCAACATTGCGGAATTGGATGACTGCTCTTATATATATATCGAAATTGCTTAAAAAACGGCGTTCGTGTGATTGGTTTTTCTACAGGTAAATTCTAATCTTACATCATTAGAATATGTTATTTTTCATTTGTTTGCAGATGCTAATGCAAAATATTTAAGTGCCATGCGCCTTGCGAGTGGCTTTTTTGCGTCGTCACCAAATTTCAAATTAGAAACATATCAACACGCGTTTAAAATAAATATACCAAAAAAATGGACATGGTTTTTCCTGGAAAAGAATCAAATTTTCTTGTTTTATCAAGATCCAGTTAATCTCGTCACAAAATGGAGAAATAGATTATTTTCAGCAACAGCGGATCTATGCTTTGGCACTGATAAAAGTAGTATAAAGCATATAGAAGAATTAATTGACAATGATCAATATACAAAATTAGACCATGGAATAACGCAGAGCGACACTAATCCGAAGGATCGTCAAAACTATCGCTCTTGTGTTAAATTAATATCCGATGATGTTATCAATCTACTTACTGATCGTAAAGACACAGAAGGGACAGTAATTTATTTAATGTTGCTGAAAATGATAGTAAGAGCTTACATGGACAAATCGGTCACATTGAGTGAACGTAAGTTTATTTTGCAAGTTAGAAGAAAGAACTATCACGCTTTCGTTAATTGAAAATATTCCTCTATTTAGGTTTAGAATCCGCCTGGTGTGTTGTATTTGTTTGTCGAATATGGTGGTCTTGGCTAAAAAAGGAATCATCCTCAAGCTCATAAAAACGTACAACAGCATGTGAACAACAAAATCATATTAACAAATATTTCATCACAAAACCTGCGTTTTTATCTGTCGAGTTAAATGCACACAATATGCTTTATATGGTGCTTTTAGTGAAGTAACATTCGTTACCCAAACAAGCATTAATCAATATACATTTATTTAATTCTCAGATATGTGAATTCTTGTTCAGAGATGCAAGATCTTTAAGTGGTTCATTTTCAACAATAGTTAACTTCATTATCAATAACTTTATCAAACGCTCACAAAAATTAGCAATATTAAATCAATTTAAATATGATCAATCAGAACATAATTTTTCTTTTCCAAAGCATCATAAACATATAAACATGATGATCGATTAGTATTACCTGATCAATTGAATGAAATTGATAAATTAGACATCGAACAAATAATCAACAATGCATATGATCAAGCAACACATATTGTTCAACATTCACAAATGTTAGATGTATTAAAACGGCACGATTTAATTAAATTACAAAACTTGAGCGAATTTGTTTGTGATAATTTAAGTAAAACTTCAAAAATGCGTAATTTTTCTTCACAAATAACAAATTATTATGTCGACGAGTTTGGCTTAGACGACGAAAACGACGATGATAATGTACTTAATGATGAACAAAATCAGCTCGATGATGAAGCGTTATTGGATTTTGAAAATGACGACGATGTTGTTGATGAAGAAGATGTACTTACTTCTACAAAATATGAGCTCAATGGAATAAGAATATTTGATAATATTGATCCAAATTTAAAGCAATCGTACTTCAAGATTAAGTTAAATGGCAAAATTAAGTACCTTCATAAACAATCAGCGTGCTGATTATTGTCAAATAAAATAGCAAAACTGTCAAGTGATCGTTTATCTCGTTGTAAACAGCAAAGGAGTTAAATATCTATTCATGAACTGAATGTTTTAATGTTTTTGTTGATGAATTTCTTTTGGTTTAAACAATTAAGATAAATAAAAAAAGTCTTTAGTATTTTTTTTTATTTGTTTAATGCCATTTATTGAATTTTCCATTTCCAGAGGATATTTTTAAGACTCTGTAGATACTTTTTGGTATTTTTATGTCCTTAAACTTGTTTCCCAAAACCTAAGAAGAAATTCGAAGTACTTTGTGATACTTTACCCGTAATTCGAAGTACTCTGCTACATTTTACTAGTACTTAAAAGTACTTCGTGGTACTCTAAGTGTATTTGAGCCTACTTCTCAATACTTCGCTCAACTTTAGGCTACTTCAAGTTATTTTTCTACTTTCCTACTTCAAGTACGCTGTTTCCCCCTTGCTACACACACACACACGCACACCCAAGTCAATTTATAACTTTTATAAATTATAAAACTCAATCTTTATCCTTATCGTGAATTATAAATGGGAGTGAGGCCAATTTATAAATTTTATGAACCATAAAAACTAAATCTTTTTCTGAAAGTGGCGTGAAAATATGAAAGTATTTTTGTTTTTGGCATTTATATTCGAAGTCGAATTAGACAGCTACTCATCCTTTAGAGTAGCTGCCTAATTCGAGTTCGAATATAAATGGAGAAAAGAAAAAGTTAAACAAAAACTAAATCTATTCCTAGATTTAGTTTTAGTTTAACTTTCCGATATATGCGACATATGAATACATATATACCCTTCATCCGCACCCACATTTGAGCACTTCTCCATGGTATCCATCACTCACACCCACATTTAAAGTATCACGGATACCCTTTCT